ATAGCCTCAAATATTTATTCTGGATTTTTAAACCTTTTTCCTAAACTTCTAGAAATAAGGTCCAATTATCCCCATTCAGGGGAAAGGGGGGCTTACCCCTAAATCCCCAACAATCCTCAAATTCCTAATCCCAAAAGACCGGTAACGCACTTGTAACGCCCCTGGTGTTACAGGTGTCCATGGGCGACGCCGATTGCTTACCATCAGCTGATCCGTCGGGTTGTTTACCGGTTTATATAAAAAAAATAATTCAAGACCAAAATTAGTCAAATCAGTCCAGCCGTTTTCAAGTTTTAGCGTGACTAACGAACATCAATTCACAGACAGTAAATATTTTAAATAATAAATATACTAAAGGACAATACTAATAAATACGTAATTGGATCTTTCATTTTATATGAATCTGAAATCTGAGCGCAGCAGAGATGAAAATGTTACGTGTGTTTCCTTGTATGAAATAATTATATGAAATAAAGGGGGGTTTTATGATAGGATGACGGCATACATTCGACAGAATTAAAGAAGACATTTTACGCATGAGGTAAGGATAAGACGATTCTAATTAGGATTTTAGAACAACCATTATTGCAACAATAAAAAGAGACAGTTCTAACCAAAACATATTTGGTACAGTAATTTAATGATAAATAAAACAATATAGATTCCGACATATTTCAAAACTATAGATATGCCGTATGTTTAGTTACTAATAATGCATCTACAATCTCGCAATGACTTTAAAGCGGTGATATGAGAAGTACTCTAATGGAGACTCGATTTTGTTAGGAAACATTCCTAGATAATATTCTCTCTTTATCTTGTACATAAGGACTCTCTTCTATCTATACGGTATTTGAAATGTAATAGAAATAATAATAAAAAGATTATAAGATTTATTACAAATTAGTGACCATGTAAAAGTGTTTAGCTATGTGTATAGATAGGGGGAGGTATGATATGAATCATCCGTAGATCAAAAGAACCCAATGCCTAAAAACATATCATACAGTCGATTACTAATGAACTAGTTTTTATTAAAACTTATCGGATAAGGCTAAAGATAATAAATAATCAAGCGATATAGTACCTTCTCCATAACATAGAGGCATTCAACATAAACCGTTTCACTCTCGATGATGCTCGTTATTATACAACGGTGCATAGTCAGGCGCTCAGCTTCCGCATTGTTGCCGCTCGATTCCTGAAAATAATTAATATATTTTATTATCTAAAGCCTAAAAATACCTATTTAATTGTAAGCATAATCAGTAAAGTTGTATAACAAGTTTCGCAACACTACACAATAGCCATTAAACTTTTGTTTGCACCAACATACAGCCTATAAGGCTAAACATCAAACAATTACCATAAGTGCCAGTTCCAATTCAGTCATTATTTCGGGTTCCTGCATGGCATATGAATCATGAAAATTATATTAGTCTCAAGTTTTGTCTTTCTTCTAAATGCCATTTACTGCTATGATTCAGAAAGTAAGTGAAACACTTCGTGGCTAATTATGTTGATAAAAGTATTGATTGACTAAAATAAATCTCATTTACTTTTAGGTTCCGAATCTAATCGAATCGAAGTGAGTCCGTTTTACGATACTATTATCTACAGCGATATCGCCGATATAATAAATGACTTTGAAAATAATGGTGTAAGTATTATTGTAACATTCGTGCTAATTGTATCTTCACACGCTTTATACGTGTCTTTGTAATTCTTTCAGGTTTCGCCGTTCGATCTATTTGCGAACAGCGACAGTCAGAGTGATGAAGGTGTAGAAAGTTTGTTATCTGAATATCAACGTCATTTAGAGAAAGCACACAAACAGAGAAAGAATTATTTAGAAAAATCAAAGACAAAAAACAAAGTACCGCTGTTGCCGCGACATGATCAATTTTCTAAAACGAAAACTAATGCCGAGAAACACGACGACTATGTTTTTGCGAATAGTTTCTATAATCCAGGTGCTTATAAATTTAGTCCACCATTCAATAACCCTTTAGATGTCTTCATTCCTATTAACTCAAAGGGAAAATATATGAATAAACCAGAAACGACTACTCTTCCAAAAGGTAACCGTGAAGAATATCTACCTCTCGAAAAAATTACGTACAATGAAAAGAAAATATTAGACTTTTCACCTATTTTACATAAATCGTCTTTTGATCCAATGAAATCGTCATGCTTCTGTAAAAGTGGACACATTCCTTGCGACTGTGGTTGCAAACAGTGCTTAGTACGTATGGATACTATGTTCAAAGATCCCTTCGAACAATTGAAACTGCACTCATCAGACGATCAGAGAAAATCTATATTGCAACACTTATTACCATACGAAAACTCTTTTAATAAAAAATCGGAACATTTAATAGACGAAAACATGAGAGATATGTTAACAGACAATACGCTTAACATTCGTATTAAAATTGATCTACAATTACCAAAACCACAAGAAATCTTGTCGAAGTTCTCTAAAATTCACAATCATGATCGAATATTTGACGTTGATGACGCGGCATCAAAAGAACTTGCCACTGGTGTAAATTTACCATTTCCATATTTCAATTTCCCTGTCCCCATGGAAGTTTTAGGTTACAAAAGAGCAACAAAATACAATAAAGATGAATCTAGTTCCCCAGTACACAAAATAACAATTCATAAAAAGAAGAAATCCAGGGCGAACAATAACAATAAGAAACATCGCAAGAAAGTTATAACTTTCCACAACATTAAGGTAGAGCAGCAACCGTTGTTCCCCAACCACTTGATTGACACCAACAACAGTGACACGGTCAAGACTGATTACAGCAGCAACGTAACCAACGACACCAATCTACCGTCTTCAAATGTATTACAATTTGAAATTAATTCTATGATAAATAAAACAGACGACATCTTAAACGAAACTCAGACAGAAGAAAGTATTTATTTGATGGTTAATATTACAAATAATCCCTACAATGGAACAGAGGATGTCCACAAAATCGAAAATAGTATCGAAAACGATTTCCCAAGAAAAATCACGAACACTACTTCAAAACTGCCATCTACACGTAAAAAACGTGACATCTCAAAGGTAAATGTAACTGCTAATTACAACAATCATTTGACGACTAAAACTACACAACCAACGAAAGATAATATAAATAAAGATAAAACCATCGGGAAGAAAGCAGATAAAAATATTTTAAGTGATGCAGAACTATTATATTGGCCTAATATAACTCGAAGTAAGGAAACAGTCGAAACCAAAAATATTACAACTATGATTTTGGAAAATGAACACAAGAAGTCAAAGATAAACATGAGTAAAGACACAATCCGTCAAAACCACACCAGAGTTCTAGAACAAGCAATATTTGGTAATGTAGACTGGGACGACGTAGAAACAGTCGCACCAGCTTTCATGTCCTTTGTGGGAAAGTATATTCGTGGAGTTTTAACATTTTGTTCCCAAAAAGTTTGCCACTCAATGAAGTGCGCTAATAAAACGTGTCTACATAGAGTTTGTAGGCCCTCGGATAGATTGAACAACCGAGGACATTGCGCCGGGACTAACAGCACAGGTACTGTTATTATTTACTTTAGTTTAATGATAAATTTTATATTGTTGAATGTTTAGAAAACTGTAATTTAAAATTTGGTTCTTATTTTTAGATAGCCTAGCATCGATGGAATCGATCATGGACTTACCTTCAAATATCGCATTTGAAATTGTCGATATTTTGCAAAACAAAATGTTGGGGAAAATATTTGGAAAGGCGACATTTTGCATTAACACCAAATGCATCACGCTTGCTGCATCTAAAAAGAATTTTGTGAAATCTCGGTGTTCCATCAAGGAGTTAAACGCAGCTGGCCATTGTTTGAATGCGAAGACCGTAAAAATTATGTAAGTTCTTTAATGTTTAGTAAATAAACCTATTTCAAAATAAAAAAGTGTTTGTTTGGAAAACTTAACACAATTGTGATTTACAGCGTATATAACTCGTTTTGCTTTAATAGGTACATAGCTTTTAAGTTGTTTCATTCGTACATAATGGTTTGGCAACCGAACCTTCCGTTTAAGTTTATCTGTATTTATTTTATTGTAAAATGGATAATTGCAGAACAAGTAAGTATACAATCAAAGATGAACGTTTATTTTGTTTTGAATTAACTACTATTTTTTATTATTTTTGAACCAGATAGGTGAAAATAGTTATATAAGTCCATGGAAAAAAATAAATAAATTGAAAGCGAAAATTATCGACTTTCGTCCAAATGGTGAAGCAATTGTAAAGAGGATATCGACAAATCGCATTAGAACTTTAACATCGACAATAGAAGCTTTGAGAGCCAAGAAGAAAGACAGGGTATGGAACGTGGTAGATAGAGACATAGTGGGTGATCTTCTCTATGCCGCTAATTATACAATGCAAAATAGCACACAAAATCGCCGTTTAAAAGTTCTAACTCGTTGCAATAAAAATAAATCAATGTGCAGATTTCTGGCATGCCCGAACATTAAGAAAAATTGCATTCTATGTGAAGTTAAAACGTATAATTACATTGAAGGAGATAATACACATTGCGAAATTTACGATACCAGCTTTTTAAATAAATAATGTTGCTAATTTTGCTTGTTTTCGTAGTTTATTGTAGTCTATTACCGTAAAATTACTCAAATCTATTTACATTACAGACTCTCTTTATCAATTATGCAAGATAAAACGTTTTAGAAATACAGAAAGTAGTATTTTCCTCCGTAGCCATGTAATTTCTATGATATTTTTTTAAATATTATCAAACATTCTTGATACTTTTTGTTCCGAATTCAACCAAACTAAATATCCAGTAGCGTAATGAAAAGTCTATTAATAAAAAAACAATTACGGCATTTCAAAAGTTTAAGGAATGGTCGTTCCTAGCTCATTAAGTAAACATTCCCTACAGGGCCTTATCTCGTCTAAGATAATAATGTACTTAGTAGAGGTTCCTATATAAAGGTGGGCCAGGACTGTTCAAACATTTATTCCCGAAAACGACATCCGTACTAGCTGTCGCCATGCTCGTTTCTAAGATCTTTGCCGTGTTTTTTATCTTGTGTTCAGTGCAGTGTTGCATATGCAAACCAACTACACAAAGTAAGTATACTTTCTCAATCTAAATGTATTTTTATTTTGTTTATCAATAAAATTTAAGCTTTTAATATTTATATTTGACATATATTGCAGATGAATTAACCGAGGGGCGCAGTATCGTGACCTCAATATGGGGTTGGATTACATATCCGTTTTATTGGTGGAGCTCTGGGGAAGTAGATCAGCCGGTAACTGAAAAACTTCTAGGGTCTACGACGTTAGACCCTAACAGAGTTTTAGACATCAGAAGTCACAATGTAACTATTTGGTGTAACGACCAAACTTGTACAACGATGAAGTGCGATCAGTTGCAATGTAAGAACATTACTTGTAACATTTACGATACAGATTTCCGAGGGGAATGCAGAGAGTATAATATCATAACAGAGCCTGAACCTACGGTGACGAAGACACCAGAAGCTACGACGGAAAAGCTTGAAATACGAGTACCCGCTAGCGTCAGCGAAGCTACTGTGGAAAATGAAACTGATAAAATTTTAACGACAGTGGAGCAACCTCTAGAACTAGAGGCTGTTATGTCGTCTACCGTTGACAAGGTAGTCCCGGAAAATATTTCTAAAGAAAAGGATCAACCAGCAGATGATTCAAGGTGAGCGACTCAATAATATTACAATTATCGACTGACGTGTTCGAGTCGAGCAAGCGTTGGGCAAAAAGGGTTCGATTCCCGGGTATATTCGTTTATCAATTTGGCATTCGATTTTAATAATATCAATCAATCTTCATGAGTACCCAAATCTATCGAGCGACAGGTTTATGCCGTAAGGAATAAATTAAAGATCATTAAAAAATATCTTACTTTCAGGCAAAACATTAACTGAAGATGATTTCCTGCATTCGTTTTCCTAACACAATTTTTAAGTTCTTGTACCAAAGATAACTGAAGCTTGTCTTGCCTATCAGAACAATAGAAGGAATGCGATTATTACAGCCGTAAAGCGGAAAGGTGAAGTAAGTTTAATCCTACGAGACTTCCTTATCTCTGAGTCATTTCTAGATAACGAAACGTTTAAGTTTGTTAAATTCTTTTAGATACATTTGTGTAAACTAAGAACTATTAGATAATGGTTTAGAATTGTAAACGCACTGGAAAAACATATAATTTCATAATTTATTGACAATGAAACGTGAATCGAATCATCTTTTAGAACTTTTTTAATAAATGGTAATTAAGTTTTGATTGTTTTTTATACAACAAACCTATTCATTTTCTGCTTCTGAATATGAATATTTTTTAGTAACGCTAATAATTATTCTATGCTAGCGTCCGCCGTTCGCCCGTAGTCTACAATCAAAAGAGTTAATTTATACTAACTCAACCAAAGCGAAACTGCTAACTTTATCAACATAAAACATTGGCGTGATCAAGTATTTTTGTACCGCAATGGATCTTGAATGGTTCATTGACTGTGATTATGTGTATGTACTTGCTAAATAACTTTGAATATGTATGGACTACGACAGCATGGTTTAGGGGAATGGTTACATATATTATTCATCATTTTTCCAATCTTATACAAAGCAAGAAATGAGTTAAAAATAATAGGATTAGTTAATTTTCGGTAATATTCTCCCGTCAAAACTGAGAATTAACTCGTCGAGTACCGTCTTTGTAGACACAATTATAGAACAATAGGTTGCGGTCACCGGTGACCGCTTGGTGTTTGACAGTTTAAACTCTTATTATATGATTCTGCTTGTCACCTCTCACAAAAGAAAAGAAGTGTACTACTTGTTCATAAAACATGTATTTGGAATAAAGTCGAACCATTTTTATAAAACATTTATTGGAAAATATTTTGCATATTCTACGTGATTACGTAAATAGTCCCGTAAACTTACCTGAGTATGTAGTTTTCTAAGTGCGGGAGGTGTAGCACTGGCTTCTGTGTCCGAAGATATTGTTCTCAACAGTAAAGGAGTGTCGCTAGAGTCAGCCAGCTCAGAGGTCGTATCGCTTGGTTCAGTGCCATCACCTCCTTTCCTAAACACAAATATTATATAAATATTGATTAAAAAGCTACCACCAACTGCCGAGCGTTCAGGGTAATTTGTCTTTTTCGGGTTTCCGTAAATTACCAATAGTATTTAAAGAACAGAATATGAAATTGGTATTGGTAACACAACTGTGAAAAGTGAGGGTTACATATGGTAAGTATTATGTGCATGTTTGCCTTTTAGTATTGATGATATGTATGTGTTCTGTGGTCATGGTCTGGTCCATTAACCCATAAATCCCCAAGCGGTCATCGGTGACCGCTTTCCACTAATATTACATTACATTATAGACCTTATTTCTAATGTTTAGAGAATACTTTTGTATAACCAAATTTAGGGGATGGATATCAACGGGTTAAGCGCTTGAAAGCCCGTATATAAGACACAATAGAAAATACATTGTCTCGCGTGGATCCACGTTTAGACATACGATGGGTAAAAGAATATCTACATTTTAACTGTAGGAAGGACAAACTTACTGTAAGAAGTAATGTATATTGACGTAGTTGGGTGCGATGGCGCAGGGTGGTGAGTCGGGCGCGCGAGGCGCGGTGGGCGCGGAGGGCGCCGCCCCGCCCGCGCTATTGCCCACCAGGGGGAGAGTGCTCGTACCACTCGAACCATCCTCTGTACTCGAACCCGTACCACCTAGTCAATAAAACATACACATGGGCTATTTTTGAGTATGTATCAAAAGTTTTTAGGCCAAATAGGGCATTTTTGTGAGGATGGAAATTCATCAAATGATTTCTGCCATGATATATGGCTAGCCTCTACCGCGGCATCAGCAAGTAGTCAAGTAGGAATGGCTAAGTAATTTTGATGTTATCAAGAGATGGTGATATAATAAACGATTGTATGCAAAAAGAAACCTGTGGTTTAAATTAAGTTTAAATAAGTTTTAAACCATAATTATGGGACTCTGTATTCACATCAAATGTGGAACTATGTATGTGATATTGCCAGAATTCGGTGCTGACATCTCAGTTGTTTTACAATTAACACTGACAGCCAGTTTACTTTGCCATAGTTTACATTTCAACCGTGTGTGGCATGTCTACTTCAATTGTCTTAATTATTGTTATTTTGTATGAGGCTAAGTTGGGTAATTTACGCACATTGTGGAAACTGATGCCCATTACTAATGATTAAAACTAGTAAAACTACTAACCAGCTTGTATGTATACATATTCGCCGTCGTTGATGTCTACGGGAACTTGGTCATAATATGGTTCGTCCTCTGAGCCAGGCACGGCCGCTGGTATACTTTCTAAAGATATTGGTGCGGACTTGTCAGCGTCAGTGGCGTCTCCCAGGTCCGGTGTAGTGGACGTCGCCTCCTCGTCAATAGACCGAGGAGTGGCCGCCCCACCGGAACGCTTTCGTTCCGACGACAATGAGTTGATAGATTCATAACTTTTTACCTGTAAATAATATTATCTTAATCAAACACATATATTTATTATAATTTAGGTATATTTATGAAATAAGAACAACTTTATAGCTGGCCAGCTACTTAAAATACACAACAGAAATAAGTATAAGAGTACTTACTCTCTCACTAATGGAGGGCGTCGACGCTCTACTTGTAATGGACTCGCGAGATTCCGCGTTTCGAATTCTACGGCCTAACGACGAAGGCGGACTGTCTTCTGCTAGACCGGTCTCCGGCAATGACGCTCCGCGCTTACTGAACACTTTTGGTGGTGGTCTGAAAGTAACCAAAAGGGACAACTAATTAGCACCAAGTTGCATAGCACATGCAACATTGAAAAACTCATAACAGGAAAGGAAATTGACCAGAAATAAATAGATTTAAAATAGAATGAATTTTTAAAAATGCCTTACTTGGGTGGGACTTTCTTCTTAGCAATAGCTACAGGATCAACAGGACTGCCTTCTGATGATTGCTGGGACTCCTCTGACTTCTTGGAAGCAGATTCTGCTAATTTCAGACCATTTACTTCGATGACTGTTACAAAATCACCAGTTTGTGATGTTGGACGGTTTTTGGCTTGATTTGGACTTGTTTGTTCTACTGCTACTGCAATCATGTTAATATTTCAGAATTTACAATACTATAATGTAAACTTACAAACATAGAACAGTAGAACATTCAGAAAACAAATAAATAGGAGTGGAAGGTTACTTTATGTAAATAGGTTTGTATTCAAGCAGATAAAGCAATGCAAATGCCATAGGAATGATGTTTACATTTCATACTTAGTCAATACTAGAGAAATTCTTTGTATTGTATTTTCAATAATATGAGAAATTGTAACAATAGCTTATAATTACCATTAGTATCTTGATTAATGTCAGTTCTCTGGACTATTTCACTATTACACCTTCTCCGAGCTGCCTCTGCAGCAAGGTTTGACAACTCATTGATGCATTGATTGACTGAACTTCTTTCAGTTATACGAGCTGGTTTGTGTCTGAGCTGCACAGGTTCACATTCAGCAGTTTCTGGTGTGGAATCTTCACTTTTATTACTACTGAGACTGATGTCACTTTTCTTTAGTAGCAAGTCAGTGGTGGATCCCTAAAAACAAAATTAATTATGATGGAATTTAATACATAATTCAACCTTGGCTGGTGGTAAATGCTTTCATAGTATTACCCAAGAGGATGTAGAAATGCCAATCTAAATAACTGTAATAACCAGGTTCTTAATTAAGTTTTTATGAATACCAATGTGCCCATTTACCTCACACTACACTAATTAGTACAATGACATGCCTACATCTAATTTAGTTCATGATGTAACAAAGCACACAAAACCACTAAATGAGTGAGTTTTGTATGTATGTACAGTACATAGATAGCTATGTCTTGTTAAGTTCAGAGTCAGACAATATATTGACACAACATTAACAATAGTATAATCCATGGGATATGTGACAGCTTTGTGTGCATGTGTTAGTATAGGAACTTATTTATATGCAGAGCCTTATAACAACCACCTCATTTACATCCTCATTGATGATTCATCACACCTTGCTAGTTGTATAACCATTTGTAGACACTCTTGTAATATTGCAAGATATGAAACAACCATGAAGCAGGTCAGATATACTGTTACTTTCACACGCTTCACAAATCAATTAACAGTTACCATTAAATATTAATTAATTAGCACTCATGTGTGAATAATGCTTCCATAACATTAATATTTATACCACAGTTATGAATACTGCATGTATAATGCTGAACTACATCTATCAATGGTATAATTTACTGGAACATTATGATGTTGATTTATTTATAGTTGTGGTTTTGTGTACAACAAAAATAAATAAGTTAAATTCAGTTTTGTATAAACAATTTGGTTTTGTGTTGAGGATAATTCATACAAATGATGTAGGTTAATTGACCTGAAATTGTAAATTATTAAATAATCTAATTGATTGTTAGATCATTAGTGTTAAAAAGAAATTCAATATTTTGTAATAATTTGATTGCAAAATTATTACTGATCATAATTTAATTGAATAACAACATTTGTGACTTGCACCTACATTATTAGAAATTAAGCAATAAATTCCTTCAGAGTATATTAAAGTTTTGAACTCATTTTCTATAGTTTCCAATGAATTAGAAAGTTTGTCTTTACATAATAATGATAATGAACAAATTACATAAATATTATTCTTTTTCTTTGATAGAGTGGGTAAATAATCAAATTAATAAGGTAATTAAATCTCCAGACCACAGAGAGAGTGAAAATTACATCACTGCAGTTACATGGTGCTCTTAAAGTCTGGTTTGGAATGTTTATAGAGTATTATTATTATAATAATTTAACAATAGAAATAAATAATGATTGTTTAGGTCCTACAAGGCCAAATCAATAAGTCTATGAATCATGTCAAGTACACAAAGTAAATTGAAAAGGAAAAACATGTGAATTCCAGGAATTATTATATTAATAACATTATATCATTCCAGCAATACTCATACCACTTATAAGACACTGAGTCATTACTTAAGTTAAAACTTATTACAAGAACTAATTTGACTGTTTTTGGGTTGGCCCCACTAAAAAAATTCGCACATTACTACTTTACTATACTTTTGTTAGATAAATAATCTAATGATAATTATTATCAAGATCAGCACTATTATAATGATAGCAATTAAAAATAATGTTTAGAGATATTCTAAGAAAATAAAGGAT